AGATAAACCAGCCACAAAGACATTGTGCACTGGTGACAAGGGCCCAAAATGCACATACGATATAATCTTATCTAAAGTTTGGTTTCGTTCACGCTGGTCCAGAAGATCGAGCTAAAACACCACAATGTGTACTTTGTTGAGAAGTGCTGGCTAAGGTTAGAAGGAAACCCTCAAAGCTGATACAACACCAGAAAACCAAGCGCAGTGAACCCAAAACAAAACCTACTAAGTTTTCCCAGCAGACATGACCTAATGAAATGGCAGCAAGTGATCGCTTGTGAAAATGGCTCCAATAAATTTTGCAGTACTGAAAGGATATTTGGAGGTAGCTCTACTTACAGGAAAGGGACGCGGGTGGCGCTGTGGGTTAAACCACAGAGCCTAGGACTTGCTGATCAGAAGATTGGTGGTTCGAATCCCCGCGACGGGGTGAGCTCCCGTTGCTCCGTCCCTGCTCCTGCCAACCTAGCAGTTCGAAAGCACATCAAAGTGCAAGTAGATAGATAGGTACCGCTCTGGCGGGAAGGTAAACGGTGTTTCCGTGCGCTGCTCTGGTCCGCCAGAAGCGGCTTAGTCATGCTGGCCTCATGACCTGGAAGCTGTATGCCGGCTCCCTCAGCCAATAAAGCGAGATGAGCGTCGCAACCCCAGAGTCGGCCACGACTGGACCTAATGGTCAGGGGACCCTTTACCTTTACCTTTTACTACTTACAGGAAGAGTGAAGAAGCCACACACTACAGCCAAAGAGCTTATTTTGCCATCTGCTGCAGACACTGTTGAAAACAAGTGAGAATCCTGCACTGCAGGGGGTTGGACAAAATGACCCTTGGGATCCCTTCCAGCTCTACAATTCTATGATTCTAAGTCTTAGGAGAGCACACGGTGAGCGAGATGCATGCCATTCCTCTTTCGAATAACGCCAGCAGTCATCAAATTTCTGCAATGCCAGATACAGTCATACCTTGGGTTACAGACACTTCAGGTTGCATTTTCTCGGATTGCCGAAATCCCGAAGTACCGGAAAGGGTTACTTCCGGGTTTCGGCAATCACGCATGCGCAGAAGCGCTAAATCGCGCTTTGCGCAGAAGCGCCGAATTGCAACCCACGAGTGCACAGACACGGGTTGTGAACGCTGTGGGTTGTGAACGTGCATTCTGCACGGATCACGTTCGCAATCCGAGCATCCACTGTACTGTGAGTGAACAGTTAATCGATATATGTTGAAAACTACTTAGCAATACAGTTGAGATGACTCAGCCTATGTTGCAAATTGCTCAACACTTATGATTTAGGTACGCTTTGTTAATCCCGTCAATGCGGTTATTGAGGAAGCAAGTTTCAGAGGTGCCAACACAAACCACGGAAGAAAAATTCTCAATTGTTAAGAGAAGTTTGCGACTGAAAGTGGTTTGGACTGGTTTAAGTGTGTTGGTGCCACCACAGATGGAGCGGCAGCAATGGCAAGTCAACATTTACGGTTAGTACGGCGAGTTATAAATGTAGATCCCAATGCTGTATCTTATCACTGCTTCATAAATTGCGAAGCATCGGCAGCCAAAGAGCTAGGTGCAGTACCTCATGCAGGACATACAAAGGCGTTGGCAAGTATAAACTTTATCAAAGCCAGTTCGCTTCAATGCACTTTTATGTGACATCTTATGTTCAGAGATGGGTTCTGAATATGTATGCTTATTGCTTCACACAGAGGTTTGCTGGCTGTCAGGAGGGTCAGAGACTCATTCCAAGTCAACACCAGTATCCCTTGCCGACATGTTTGGTTAAGCTGAATCAGTTGACGAGGTAAGGACGGAAACCTCTTTACTTGCGTAGCAGAAGTTGGGAGTTTTCATGATTAAAATGGAGCTTTGGGCAGTTTGGGTTTGAAAGGGAACAACAGACAACTTTCCCATGCGTGACAGAACTTCATGTTTCACGGGAAGATAAACCGTATGAGAATAAAAACTAGCATTAAGCAAACAAGCATTAAGCAAACAACCATCAGCCACTTGGGATTTACTACACGGGAAATTTGCCTATTGGTTTCTCAGCGAGTGCAAGCAAAACCCAATTGCAACTGATGTCATGAAGTTGTCTCTGTCTGCAAAAAAAGAAGGAACTCTTTGAATTGTCGTGCGGTAAGACCTACAAAGATAAATTTTTGGAAATGCGGTTACCAAATTTTAGCAGCTACCACTGAGCATCAGAAGCTTGCTGATGGAGCAGTATCTGTGCTGCTGACGTTTGGTAGTACTGTACATGATTTTACAAAACAGGTTTTCCAGCACTGACTGCTACAAATACAAAATACAGCAGCAGCAGCAGGAAGAAGAAGAAAAAGAACAACAACAACAACAACAGCGTGCATCTGACAACAATCTGCCCTAAGGTAAAAAAGGTAAGGTAAAGGGACCCCTGACCATTAGGTCCAGTCGTGACCGACTCCGGGGGTTGCGGCGCTCATCTTGCTCTATAGGCCAAGGGAGCCAGCGTACAGCTTCCGGGTCATGTGGCCAGCATGACTAAACCGCTTCTGGTGAACCACAGCAGCACACGGAAATGCTGTTTACCTTCCCGCCGGAGCGGTCCCTATTTATGTACTTGCACTTTGACGTGCTTTCGAACTGCTAGGTTGGCAGGAGCAGGGACCGAGCAACGGGAGCTCACCCCGTCCTGGGGATTCGAACCACCGACCTTCTGATCGGCAAGTCCTAGGCTCTGTGGTTTAACCCACAGCGCCACCCGCGTCCCTCTGCCCTAAGGTACTCGTTGGCAAAATACAATCTCAGCCATTCAACTGACACTTGCCAAAATAGACTTTATCAATAATAAAGATGTTTAAGCTGTTAATAGCTCATTATATTTAACACTGCCTAAATGCATGTTTTTAGAATAAACCTGTAACTTATTTATTTATTGCATTTATATCAAACCTTTTCCTCCAAGGAGCTCAAGGTTATATACATGGCTCTCCCCCTCCTCATTTCATCTCCACAACAACACAATTTATGAAGGAACATCCTACATTCAGGCGGTTGCTGTTCTCACAATTTGAGAAATGGAACTGTGAATAATTTTGTAAGCGCATATTAACAGGGGTGCTAAGAAATTTTTTGCTTTGAAGGCTCAGGTTAACAGTTATAAAATAGGGCCAACTAGAAGTGAAAACGCACCAAACACAGCTGCCGAAGACCTGAGGTCCACAATTCACGTGGCAATAATCTGATGAGTCATCATAACAAGCAAATTTGTTTTTGTAGGTTGCCAGACCAAAAAGGTTGAGAATGAGCACTTGCCTAGAGCAGCATTCACCAACCTGGTGCCCTCTGGATGTTTTGAACTACAACTCCCATCATCCCCAGTTCAAAACATCTGGAGAGCACCAGGTTGACAAAGAGTACTCTGAAGTTTCTTCCAGAACTAATCTATAATCCTGTCTTAAAGGAAGAGGTAAGACTACATAGAATCACATATAGTGGTACCTCAGGTTAAGTACTTAATTCGTTCCGGAGGTCCGTTCTTAACCTGAAACTGTTCTTAACCTGAAGCACCACTTTAGCTAATGGGGCCTCCTGCTGCCACCGTGCGATTTCTGTTCTCATCCTGAAACAAAGTTCTTAACCCGAGGTACTATTTCTGGGTTAGCGGAGTCTGTAACCTGAAGCGTATGTAACCCGAGGTACCACTGTAGTTGGAAGGGACCATGAGGATAATCTATATTATAGCCAAACCCGGTGCAATGAAGGAATCTTTCGCCCAAGGTGGGGTTTTAACTCACAACCCTGAGATTAAGAGTCTCATGCTCTTCCGAGTGAGCTATCCTCTCCTTGGCAAGGCGCATTCCAATTCTGCACACCAAAAAGAGAAATTGTCAAAAGCTGGAAATTAAGGTTGGAATTCAACGTCACACTATTAACAAACGCTTTGCCTGTGCAAGCTTATCAGCTTGCCAGACAGAACAATCTCCCCTCCCCTTTCCTGGGCACTGTCCTGGGGGTTTTATTGACTCCCAAGAGCCGTATTCGGACCCCCATATTTATTGAGCCCCAAGAACAAATTCTGTAGGGGAGGTGCATGAAGGGAGGGAAATGGGGGGGGGAGCCCAGTTGCGCAAGCAGAAGCACTTGCGCAGAGCTTCCACTGACAGAATTAGTTAGGTGAATCCTTCCCCAAGTATGTTTTCCCTATTAAATCTGCACTTCACTAGCTTAGCTCCCAATTACCTGCCTGCCTACCTAGTGATGTATGGAAGTGAGAGCTGGACCATAAAGAAGGCTGATCGTCGAAGAATTGATGCTTTTGAATTATGGTGCTGGAGGAGACTCTTGAGAGTCCCATGGACTACAAGAAGATCAAACCTATCCATTCTGAAGGCAATCAGCCCTGAGTGCTCACTGGAAGGACAGATCCTGAAGCTAAGACTCCAATACTTTGGCCACCTCATGAGAAGAGAAGACTCCCTGGAAAAGACCCTGATGTTGGGAAAGATGGAGGGCACAAGGAGAAGGGGAAGGCAGAGGACAAGATGGTTGGACAGTGTTCTCGAAGCTACGGACATGAGTTTGACCAAACTGCGGGAGGCAGTGGAAGACAGGAGGGCCTGACGTGCTCTGGTCCATGGGGTCATGAAAAGTCGGACACGACTAAACGACAACAACCTGCCTTCCACTTTCTGACAGGGACTGTATCCTTTAACTTAAAAAGAAAACCCACAGCAGTTTCACAGCATTTATATTCTGTCCATCCACCACGGAGTGTAGAGTCGAGTCCCAGTTGATCTGCCTCCCAGATGCTAACATGACCTTGGCCTGCTTAGTTTCAGTAGGGCGGCTGCACTGTGTATCTTCAGAACACATTCTAGGGCCTTTTGACCACTGCTTCGCTCTCAAGCACTGGAAATGTTGTTGTTGCTGCTGCTGCTGCTGTTGTTAGCGACCAAATGTATACAGCTAAACTCATCCTTTGGTTTCCAAAACATGCTGGCTGCTCTTTATTTCCCTAGTGCAGTGGTGGCCAAACTTGGCCCTCCAGCGGCTTTGGGACTACAGTTCCCATCATCCCTGACCACTGGTCCTGTTAGCTAGGGATGACGGGAGTTGTAGTCTCAAAACAGCTGGAGGGCTAAGTTTGGCCATCACTGCCCCAGTGACTGTCACTACCCAAACATTTACCATTAAATACATTCTGCAAAAAACAAAAGCCATTAGCATGTTAAAAAACAACGAATTGGTAGTGCAAGTACTACCATACTTGTGGTATAATTGTATAATAATCCTGTTTTCAGGTTATGCAATGCATAGATGCAAAGGAGTCCTATCACACAACGTGAGGTAGAAAGTTTATCACCAACTGCGAATAAAATATTAGGCAATATTGGCAGTTTCAAAGTTGTACTTAATGTTTCTCAGGTAATCGTCCCTAGCATTGTCTTTAAATGTTCACAAGCATTCTAATAAAATTGTCTACGCAATTTAACATTTAAACCTTATTAAGCGTGCCTTCATTCCCCTGTCCCCCCCAAATAATTTCATATTCTTTGTGCCATATTGGTGCAAATAAAAGCAAATATAAATTAACATGGTATGCTTTATTTTTAGCTTTGTTTACCAAATAAAAGTAAAACAAACATGCTAAATTAGTTCACTCTCTAAGGCAGCAGAAAATTTTCCAATGCAAACAGAAAACCTTCCAATGCAAATTAGCCTAATTTGCACAAGAAAATATTCCAATCCCATTTTGTTTGTTTGTTTGTTTTAAAAAAACAAACCTCACATGACTACACAGGCAAACAGAACTAGGCAATTTATTCCTTCTCTTCACCACCCCTGCCCCTTCCAGTTAAGGGCACGTGAGCAGGAAAGGGCTACTGTGTTCATGTCTTGTCTGCAAGCTTTCTGGAAGTATCTGCTTGGCCACTGGAAACAGGATGAAGGGCTAGATAGGCCTTGTGGTCCAGTCTTGCCATCAAGAGGTTTCTCCTTGCATTCAACCAAAATCTACCTCTCCTGCCGCTTAAGCCCATCAGATGTAGTCCTGCCCTCTGGAACAACAAAGAAGACATATTTATCCTCTTCTACGTGAAAGTTCACTAGGATGTCTCTGTGTTGCCAAGCCCAACATGTCTAGATCCTTAGGAAGCTGTCAGACCGTTGAACAATCTAGTTCAGTTTTGTCTACACTGATTGGCCAGCGGCTCTCCAGGACTTCAGACAGAGGTCTCTCCCAGCCCACTGAGCTACAGCTCTTCCAGACTGTTAACTATTCACACAAAGCTCTTGACATTTGCTGCATTAAGTGAAGTGCAGTGTGCTAAGAGGAAGGCACGCTTGGCAAATCCACACCGTGATCAGCTCCTACCCGGCAGCCAATGTCCCCACTGTGGAAGGACGTGTGGATCCAGAATTGGCCTCCACAGTCACTTACGGACTCAACGTTAAAACCGTGTTTATGGAAGACAATCTTACTCGGCTACGAGTGATAGCCAAAGAAGATTACGTTAGTGCATAACCATACCAATCACCAAAGGTTTGATCAGTGTTGGAAACTCAGATATTATATAAGCTGGGCGCCAAATGGCTCCTTAAACCAAGGTTACAGTCGCCAAAACAGAACGTCTAGTTGTCATTTTGGGGCAGGACAACTCTAAAGTCCTATTTTAAGACTGAGTGTGATTGATTCTCAGTTAACCATCTGGCTAGTTCAGATGCCAACCTTGAGCTAGGTTAAGAGCTTTGAGATCTTAAAGAAGAAAAGTCACAAGGACAGTCCACATACTTATTGGCCGATTCCGACCTCTTTTTTCTTAATGGTGACACAAGACCGTTCATAACGTTAAGAATATTCTTCACAACTGTGAGCAAGCCAGTGGAGTGAAGACAAGCGACAACTATAACGTTGCTCATCGCTCTTGTTCAGGCTGCACAGGAAAAGCATTTTGGTACCTGAAATTCATTCCGATTGTGCAGATAAAATATAACTGATAGAAATCTACAGGATGTGGTATTCGTGTGTGACAACAGTCCTGATCCAATGATCCCCAGACATGCACCTCCAGATGGTGGAGATGTCCCAGCACCCAGGAATCTTCACTTGCCGATAACTTGTCGCAAGTGGCTGATAACCAGGTGCAAAATGCGCCTGGCTAATTTCGAACACTGAGTGAAGTGTAGTGCATTATGTTAGTGCATAACCCTACCGGTCAGCACAGGTTAGGATAGGATGCGCTGTTAGATCTCTGGGTGGCTTGCATTCGATCAGCAAGGGTTTCTGACTCCAAAGCAAAATAACTCGCCTATCTGAAAATTTGTTTATTACAATTACTCATCTACTGCCGGTCACGCAAGCGTCCCCAGATGGTGTACAATAACAAGATACACCAAACAAATAAAAAATACAGGACGATTAAAATCAGAGGACATCCAGCAGTCATAAGGACAAAGGAACATAGGAAGAGCCCTGCTGGATCAGACCAAAGACCCACCTATTCCAGAATCCTGTTCTCACAGGGGCCCATCAGATGCCAATGGGAAGCCTGCAAGGAAGGAGACTTGAAACCATAAACCATTCTTAAAGACAAAAGCTAAGCTGGAACAGGCTTCTGTGAGAACGGACAGCGAGCTGAATTCTCTTCTGAGACGGAAAATAAAACCCTAAGATCAGAATGCATTCAGAGGCAACCTGTTCTTTAATTCTAACTCTGTGGCTTTTGCACCTGGGTTGGTAAATCTTGGGGTTCTAGAAAAAGGCAAGGAAAATCCAACATGTCTGAAGTGTACCCATCCCTGCCCTTAGTGCCTCAACATTGACTCCAAACCCTTTTGTCTCAGAATTGAGGTAGACTGTGTCTATTGATGGCTGTCCTTCATCTCCCTCTGCGTCCAGTATTAAATGTTACCCTCAGCATCAGATATTTCGTGACTTACCGTATTTTTCGCTCTATAACACGCACCCGACCATAACACGCACATAGTTTTTAGAGGAGGAAAACAAGAAAAAAAATATTCTAAACGAAAACAGTGGATGTATGATTTTTGTGGTTCATGCTGTGGCCACAGACATGTGATCTGACGGTGAGTTTGAGGTAGCCCAATGCAAAAATCCTGAGGATCCATGTGGATCCGTGCTTTGTAACCACGTTTTTGCACCACTGCGGCCCCAGGCAACAGTGGGTGCGTGATTTTTTGTGTGCAAGCTGTAGCCATGGACATGCTATGTGATCTGATGGTGAATTTGGGGTGACCCAGTGCAAAAATCCTGAGGATCCATGTGGATCCATGCTTTGTAACCACGTTTTAAGTGGGGAGGGAAAGAAAAGCACTCAAGGGACAAGGAACACACGTGGGGTGGGTGGAGAAGGATGCTGTTAATAATGCAGAAGAGGGGTATAAGAGGAGAAGCAAGCAGGCTCTGCTTCTCTCCCTCCTCCCTGGCTCGCTGAAAAACTTTGCTGCTATTTAGCCAGCTGAGTGGGAAGGAGAGAGGGACAGAGAGCCTGCTTGCTTTAAAGGAGCCAACCGGACAGGAGCCGCTTACACTCGTGTAAGCGGCTCCTCTCCTCTCCCACTTTGCTCCTTTAAAGCAAGCAGGCTCTCTGTCCCTCTCTCCTCCCCACTCAGCGGCTCTTCTCCCGCTTTGCTGTTTCAAAGCGAGCCACGGAGGAGGGAAGGAAGGGGAACCATGGATCCTCTGCTCACGACTGCAGCAGATTCCCCCGCCATCTGTAGGCATTCGCTCCATAACACGCACAGACATTTCCCCTTACTTTCTAGGAGGAAAAAAGTGAGTGTTATGCTGCAAAAAATACGGTAACTTGCTCATTTAAG